CGTATTATAAACTGTGTATCCATATTGTAATACTGTAAACATTAATCGCGATCTGAATGTTATCCATGTTCTTTAAAGACTATTAAAAAATAATTAAGGCAAAGCTAATCTCATCTTTGCGAAAGTGCAGGAATCGAAACGTTGTTTCCCTTGCATTTATTAGCACCATCGTAGAACGCATTAGTTGCATATAAATGACGGCAAGAATTGCCTTCATGGAGCCGGCAAATTACGAAGCTCGGAACTACATTGTCGGTTAACGATCACGAAAGCAACGCGAACGGAACGCGATCCATCGTCACGGGAAACGTCACGTCGAGGAAACGTTTGTCAGATTTACTCGGCGTACTTCGATTCGCGTCTAACCACGTTCGACAACACGCTCTCGATTACCTGGCAGTGTTCTCTCTTTCTCTCGTCGTCGACGAGCGCTCGCTGTTCCTGAAAGTTAGGGAATCCCTCGAAAAGATCGTGAGATGTTCACGCGATTCGTTCAAGATCTACGATAACTGTGGCTGCGTCGAGCGGAAAAGCTCAAGAAGGAGAATTCGTCGGCATCGAAAAGTTTGAGTGGCACTCGGACCTCGTCCAATACTTGGATCAGGCTTAAAATTATTTCGCTGCATCGGCGGAAAGGAATCGTCGCGTCGTCAATATCGTTATAAAGTTATTCGGCGGTTTCGAATGAGATCGGAAAAATTCGTGAAATTTTGCAGCGCTTTATATCCATAGATAGTGGGATAATAACTGAAGAAGATTGACAATTAAAAAGGACAAGTCGAGAGGAAATATTAGAAAAAGAGGCAGAGGGGTGAAGAGCATTTTAAACGTTTGGATTGAGAGGGAAGAAAATTAAACGGCGGAAAAGAGCGGAGGAAAAGGTAATTAAGAAAGAGAAAACCGAGGTGAGAGCCGGTTGGGAGTCGAAATGTGAAAAGGAACTTGAACGGATAAATCGTCTCAGGTTTAAACGCATGGAAGAAATATAAGGGGAGAAATCAAAGCGACGCATAATTCAGCAAGATAATAAAAAATTATTATTTTTTTTTTTTTATTTGAAAATTTATAATTAATATTAACGGTTTTAATCAACTTAATCAACTTTTCTTGTCAAGAAACATTCTCTCTTGATTTTAAACTCGGTTAACTATAGTTTCAGTAGCTTCATAATGATGATGCAACGATTTTTTTTTTTTTATTTGAAAATTTATAATTAATATTAACGGTCTTGTATAATTTAATCAACTTTTCTTGTCAAGAAACATTCTCTCTTGATTTTAAACTCGGTTAACTATAGTTTCAGTAGCTTCATAATGAAAATAGTTTTGATGCAACGTTGATATACTGAAATAAATTGATAATGTATATACGATAGATACAAGAAAATTAATGTAACGTCACTTTTCATTAAACTTATTTTTAAGTAATTGAATTATTTTATTATTATTAAACGTTCATGAAGAGATTTGATCTTTTTAATATATTTCCTGATTTAAATTTAAAAATATTCGCATATTAGTGAGATTTTATATATATATATATATATATAAATGTTCACCGTAATTGGAGTTTCTCATGACTTTATGCAAACTAATAGCGGTTACACGAAAATCAAGTTTCACGAAACGGATTCTCGCTGAGTTTGTGCCAACTTTCGGTTGGCAACAACGTGCAATAAAAATAGAGAATGCAATGTAATCAACTTTGAATTGCAGAGTAAACAATTTCGATAAAATTTTAATTAAAAATCGAATCAATGGAATAATGTTACGAAATAATATAAAAGTATTACTGCAACAGATATCGATTGCGATAATACATAGGTATAATTACTGGCTAATACAACAAGGTTCCGTTCCAATAATCAATTATACCATGCGAATATGCACCTGCATTAACATTCTTGATTCCAGATCAGTATGTATATATAATTCATTAATTATAAAATAGTTTATTTAAGAATTATTTTGTCGATATTAAAAGAATGATTGAAATTACAAAAATATAATTACAAAAAATATAATATTTAAAAAATCATTAAGATATCATTAAAAATCATTAAAACATTTCTCGCTTTTGTATAATGTAGCATTAAATGAAAATAAAATCAAAATATTCAATTTAGCTTTAAAAATTTACACATTGATAAAAGAGATAAAAATTATATATTACTTAGAATAATTAAATTATCATGATGCAATTACAGAATATTCGATTAGTATACAATCAATTTATCTCATTTAAAATATAAAAATTCGTATGTATTTTTCAATTTAGAAAAAGTTTATTATATAAATTGTTGGGATTTTTTAATAATCCTCTCAATTATTACAATGTATCGGGTAATTTTATGAAAATTCTTTCTGTGTTGTAAAAGTAACCAAAAACCGGATTGCCAGCAGCTGTTGGACAAATATTTTCCTTCTATAGTCAAGATGAAGCAAAGTCCCCATCCCAACCGGGCTCATCAATCACATCAATTACACGACATGGTCGATTCGCGATAACACGCGTCTGCGCGCGTGCTTGAAAGAAAATAAGAGAGCAAAATAGATAAAGAAAAAAAGAAGGAGAGAGAAAATGCATATAACAAAATAAAAAAAAAATCAATAAGTAATTGTGCAGTAATAGCGCTTTCGAAATGAGACAAGGGAAAAGCGCTACAATGACCCTGACTTGAGATAATGCTTTCTATCACATTGTTCGACATAATTGTCGATGAGAAAACGTTCAGTTCCTTCTGGAGTAATTACGAGGAACAAAAGGGTCAAAAGTAACAGCCACGGTTATGGGTTTCTATCTCTGATTCTCTCTCTCTCTCTCTCTCTCTCATTCATTTTTCTTTCTCTTTTTACTATCTAAATATGGATTATATTCCATTCCGTTGTTTTTTAAGAAAATAGGGCTATTACGAACAATTTCTAAACTCGCACGCGAACTCAAAGATGATGACAAAGGAATACTCGCTATTGGCGTTCATAATACTCCCATCAAAAAATAATCCATGCACCCTCGGCACTTTTTCTCCTCGTACGTTGTACGAATGAAAGAAACAATATTTCTTTTCGCTATAAATCGATCTATCGCTCCGGCCGTGAACTAAATGCGTATCGATCGTTTCAACGGTGCGGCAAAATTTCGTTTCGCGATTTCGAATAAGAAAGAAAATAAGAGGAGAATTAAATTTATGATAAACAGAGTTGTCGAAGGAATTTATCTCGCGCATTTGTATATAGCTAATAGACAAAAGTAAAAAGAGAGGATCACAAAGACGGCGATTCCGAGGGCGGATACTGATTACAGCCGACTTTGACTGCCCCTTCCGAAATAATCGGCCTGCAAACAGTGAAAATGACGAGCGAAGGGGTGCGCTTAATTGACGATGTCTCAATGGAACAACAGGGCGGGGATCGTGACGACCCCAAAAGCAACCCTAACAGCGGATGAGGGGTTAGTCGTATCCTTTCAGACCTCGGAGTGGCTTTAAGGCCATACCAATATTTCACAAGTTTCGTTTGCTCGACCTTTCCTCTTACTTATGCGCCCCGGGGCGTTCAACGTATTTCCGCATATTTGAATAATGCCTCTTTCGTGATTCGCCTGATTCGTTCGATTTAATCTCGTGCATGAAAATAGTTACATCGATGCGCAATGTTATGATTATATGATAATTTTGATTACATTAAGTTGACCAAATTAATGATACATACAATATAACGGGTATCTTCAATATGTATAATTCAAAATTTGTATTAATAAAATAAATATCGGGAATATATATTTATATATATTGTCTCTCTCTCTTTTTAAATGGAAAAAAGTCGATATATTCATTCACCGAAATGGCGAATGATATTTTATTTATTAACTTTTTATAAAATATGCATCTTGAAATGGTAGTGAACTAAAATAACATAAAGTACAGGAAAATGATAAGGCCAAAGTATCATACAACACGTCTGTTATCGACGCGATGGTCGGCAAAGGAGAAATTGCTGTGGTCGTAAAGTTCACGCGCGTTACAACAGTGAAACATTGATCCAATGGTTTAGCGGATATTATTTAGATAAAGAGCTTATTTCCAAACCGCATTAATTATAAATCCATATCTTCTAAAAATAAAGTTTATGTGTTATAAAGTTATACCTATATAGCTTTATAGCTATAAACTGCGTTATTGGATTGGAAAACTTACAAGAGAAAAAAAACTTGTAATACATAATTCTTATTTATTAAAAATATGAATTTAATATAGCTTAGATATAAACTCTTCAAATAAAAATTTACAGTAATTAAGTAACAGTAATTAAATAACATCCGATTAAAGTAATACATTTTCGCTGTTTGCCCTACGGCCATATATACAGAATGTCTCGGAACTGGAGGTACAAGCGAGAAGAAGATGATTCTATATGAAAAAATAAGTCGGAAATATAGAATAATATTTTTTTTATACGAGGCTTTGTTTTTGAGAAAAACGACTTTAAATATTCGTCAGATATGCATGCTATCGTGATGATATTACGAGTCTAACAATTGAAATAAAAAATAAGTTTAGTTTTCGAACTCTTAAAAACACAAAATATACTGGCAAAAATTCGTACAAAAATACAAGAATACATTTATGTATACGGCAAAACGGGCAACACTTCCAACAATTTTTGAATTAATAAAACAAAGTTCTTAAAAAGTAAACACATCTTGACTTATTATGTATCCCCGAAGTATCCTTTGATATTAACATTGTTTGTAAACACAAATGTGTGCAAAGATAACGTATAGTAAGCACTGTTGAGACCAGACATAGCACGGATATCTGAATATTTAAAGTCGTTTTTCTCAAAAATAAAGCCTCGTACAAAAAATATTATTCTACATTTTCGACTTATTTTTTCATATAGAATCACCTTCTTCCCGCTTGTACCAGAGAAACATTCTATATAAAAATTCGCTAAAAATCTAGTCCTCGTTCGTTTCCAGATATCTTTAAGATAACTCACCTCTCCGTGCGTATCCCTCCTTCCGTCCGGCGTGTTCTCAGGTAAGAAATAAAGCCGTAAAGACGCCAAAGGCTGATTCGGTCCACGACTGTCCATCCACAGCAGCTGAAGCTCCCCGATGCTGACGAGATCAGCATCGCTCCACAGTTTCGTTAGGAAGAAACTGCCGAGACGAAGGACGCGACCGTTACCTATCCTTACCGCTTTATAAAATGTGTAAGGGCCATGGCTGAAGCAAGCACCGCCCAATAACTGAAAACATAGAAAATAATTTATTTATAAAAATCTATGAAAATCTTTAAATTATATGTTCTCTCTCTCAAAAAAATTACGAACGTATATAAACGATGGAAAAAAAGTTCATGTAAAATATGTTCTCTCTGTATAATTTCCGTGCAATGTTACTTCTAATAATACGCTTGCGGCATATACGCCATTTAATAATTATTCTCGTATTATTATTAATATTATAATTACCCCACATTAATACTTAATGAGAAATGCGTTTGAATATTGCAACGTATTACCCTGCAATATTAATCGGGTGATAAACAGGTGCATATTTCTATTAAAATAAAATGTATTAACGCGGCAAAGAGCATATTTTCGTGCATCGACAATTTGAGTAATTTAATTAAAGATTATTCGATTAAAAGAGAGCACATTTTTCGAAACCGGCGAAAACTCGTTCAAGTCGGCTTTTAAAATATCATCTCCCCGGATAGGACCACCGCGAAAGATTCGTGGCGGCGGCAGGGGATGATCCCGCAGAAAAGCGGAGGGTTACGCCTCCCTAGAGAGTATTTGCAGTGCGAGGCACAAAGCACATGCACATTCGCACCGTTACACATGCGTGCGCACGCACATACGCAACGCGGGATAAACCGATGCAGAATGGGTAGGAAATCTTTGCGTTAAAAGTGGCACGTGGATTTTCGACTCGTGAAACGGGCGCGATTAAAATCGATAGAGCGTGACGGACTCGTGACCGCAAATAATAAAGGCTTAAAAGCGCGTGTAAAAAATTAATTAATTGCCATCGGGATAAGAGGACATATTCGATAAGAACGAAAAACTCGTTTGATGAAAAGAACGCAACGTTTAATCTGTATTTTTTCATAAAATAAAAGAAAACGATAAATAAAGTAATGGAAAAAAGAGAAACTCTCGCGAATGGTACGTACAAGTGACGTGAATTTTACATCGTAGTATTCTCTCCTCGTTGCCCTAGAAAAACTATTTATTATTCAATGAGAAAAATGTTTATTATCCGGCTCCTGAAAAAAATTCCGCAAACGAAAGAGCAAACGAACCGTGCACGCGGCGCGTACAGTCCGTCGTATAATTCTCGATGGATCTTTTATATGAACACACGCGATTTGCGTCCGAGTCTTTTACGTTGCTCTTGTCTCTTTTCTTCCTGCTAACATAAGATTCAAACTGTCAACATAGATCATTAAGGAAACACGCGAGAGCAGCAATACCGGTTTCCATAAGGTACTTGAATGCGGGAGAATTCTCGCGCACGAATGCATGTGTTTATGAATGCATCGATGTTATTCCACGTACATATCAATCACCGAAAATCACTCTGTAATTGTCGACGCGAACTCTGAAAATAATTCGTTCCGGTTGCATTTTAAAATTTGAAAATATTCTACCAGCGGAATTAATTGATCTTTTATATATAGTTTCGTCACTTTTACGCGAGTTTGCAAAGATGTAAATGCCATATATCATTTTTTTGTTGCTTCATACATTTTTCAATAGATTCAAATGGCTACAAATGTTAAATACCGTATAGAACGATAGATGAGATATTACGCGAGCTATAGAAAAAGGATCGTTTTTGTAATTCAAAACACTCGATGTCGAGTCGATGGGAGAGAGAAAAAACACGATGAAAGGTGCGATCACACTTATGAGGCAGACTGTACGCAGTCTGCTGCTTTGCAGCGGAAACTTGTCCATTACTCCCTTTGCTTTATTTATCCGGGCGAAATTTCAAATGGATCGGATTTGGACGTAAAAGAGACAGGCGCGCAAAGATCGATGCTCGAGAATATTCACGTAAAATGCTCTCGACAAATTTTATTCAAGTCGATAAAATTCTCTCTTTTGATTTATTGTTTTATTTTGTAACTTGAAAGAAAGAGACAGAGAGAGAGAGAGAGAGAGAGAGAGAGAGAGGGGGGGGGAAGCACAGTTTGGCAATGTATCGATTTCACGGAGGAAGATGATTCCGAAAGACTCGTCTCGAATAACAAGATCCTTTAATTGTCGATTAAATGAATTCGATATTGGGTCATGTTGGTCGCACGCCCGGGTTAGCCAGTCAAAACGCTTGTCGAGAACGAGCGAGTCTCGAGTATGCTTCGATATGCAAAATTGTCGCTAAGTCGCTCATTACTGCGCAGATCGACAAGCGAGCGACGTCGACATCGCCTCGCGCTATCAATCGAGCCCGCGTTACATAATTGAATCAATAATGGCATCGGAACGACGGCCGCTATGTCGAATGAGCACCGCTGCCATAACTATTTCCAATGTTTTAAGAGTACAGTCGCGGCCAAGAGTTCGTCCGATCTGCCGGCGAGCGGGCGAAAGATCAGCCGGCGAATGGTATTTATAGCAGTTAATCTCGTTTCTCCGCCACTCTGCACCGCACGCGAAACTTACTCGTCATTGATATCGCTATTGCATCTCTACCACGCTCTTTTATCAACACGGACAAGTGCATCGATGCGAGACGCGTGCACGCATTCTCCCCCTCCTCCCTCTACGCACCCATACCCACGCTTACGCATATATAAACGTGAGGAACAAATGTGTGCGAATCTTGGCTTTTGTCATTATTATTTATCGAGACGTGTCAATTATACATACCCTCTCGCAAGTCGCTAAATATTTCACCACGCGTCAACGCACAATGCCACGCATGCATTATTCATCAAACGTGCGTGCGCTTTTCCTTTCGTAAAAATCTATCGCTTCCATCGCGGGTAAATAAATATCCATCGCGAGAGTTGTTGTAACGCCGTCAATTTTCTCATTGTTGATTACTTTTTTACTAAAAGAGCAGGCGTGCAAAAAACAAGCAAGCATGAATATAGCGCATATTTAAAATGTCACAACGTTGATGAGAATTATTTTTTTTTAATTAAAAGAACGACACACACACACATATATATATAAATATATATCTACATAAATAAATGGAATGAAGCAAACGGAATTGTTGCCTCTTCAAAAATATAGATAACTAAAAAGTATATCGAGTATAAAGTTATCCAAGAAATTCTTGTTCGCCACTATATATACGGCGCGCGCAAAGATAATAGTTATCTTTCTTAATAATGCGTTATCCGTCGAGAATATACCGTAACATTACGCTCGGAACTTCTGCAGCTTTATATAATGATCGTTGTCTGTTTTCCTCTTGCAACAGAAACACTCGCTAAAACGGTCGGCGGGAGGAAAGAGGAGCGAGGAGAGAGGAGGGGAAGGAGGAGGAGGCGACGAGAGTCAGAGGGAGAGAGAGAAAAAATGCGTCACGTAACATTTTAAGGCCACTGAGTAGAATAATATATATGTATATATCTCTCTCTCTCTCTCTCTCTCTCTCTCTCTCTCTCTCTCTCTCTCTCTCTCTCTCTCTCTCTCTCTCTCTCTCTCTCTCTCTCTCTCTCTCTCTCTCTCTCTCTCTCTCTCTCTCTCTCTCTCTCTCTCTCTCTCTCTCTCTCTCTCTCTCTCTCTCTCTCTCTCTCTCTCTCTCTCTCTCTCTCTCTCTCTCTCTCTCTCTCTCTCTCTCTCTCTCTCTCTCTCTCTCTCTCTCTCTCTCTCTCTCTCTCTCTCTCTCTCTCTCTCTCTCTCTCTCTCTCTCCCTCTCTCTCTCTCTCTCTCTCTCTCTCTCTCTCTCTCTCTCTCTCTCCTTGAAACTCTGATTATATCTCTCTTGCAGTTGTTTGAAATACAAAAATGCGTGCTAAAGAAAAATTAAAATTAATTGATGCAAAATTAATCGAACATACGAATAACCCACAGCAGTGAATATTATACATATTCAAAGATTCATTGTTATGCCGATGCACTCGTCGATTAGAAGATATGAAAATGCTGAACAGTCGCCGTATCACTTACGCAGTACTTCATTGTACATGCGAACTTGTATTCATTAAACATGCAAAAAGAGGGGGCGGACGACGAAGAGAGTAGAAAGGCGATGAACGAGATCGTGCGCGAAATTAGTAAATGCAAACGACTAGAATAATGCGAATAAATCACTGCTGATGGCTCTTAATAGTACTGTACTAATGGTTTTTATGTAATAGCTCGCACTGTGCCGGAAATATATAACGAACGATACATCGGAATCGTCTAATTATCGAGAGAAGACACGAATATAAACGCCGATAATTAAAATATTTTTATCGGCGACGGAAGCGCGAGCGGGCATCAAAGAAAAAAAAAAAAAAAAAAAAAAAAAAAAAAAAATCGCACGACACTAATTACAAATTGCAATCGCAGCACTACTGTATCACGATATCCGTATCTCGGGAGGAGCTCCGCCGCGATCGGAAAATCGTCAAAATCGTAAAATATTTAACATATCCCACGCATCGTCGACTGACATTTGAGATGCTCGTGATTGCGAAACGCAACGTTTGCATTATATAATTAACCTTTCTCATCGTGCGCGAATCGGATAGCTTCGTTCATATCTCGAGTAAAAAGATCTCGCACGCGCTCGGCGGGTCAGTGAGGAAAAAACGTGGCCGCGCACCCAGGGGATCGAAAAAAGGACGGGATATAGGGCAATGCACCCCATCCCTCCGCTCATCTCCCCCCCTCCCCTCGCCCCGGTCATTGTATACCCTCGCCGCGTGTAATCGCATATATACGAAGCTGTCCGCCGCCAAGCCACCGTCCCTCTCGATCTCCCTTTTCCATTTTCCCTCCTTGTTACTGTGTCTATATTCCTGCCCATCTGTCTCTCTTTCCGATAATATTCCTCTAGAACCCGTCGCGCTGTCTTGCTCGTGCTCGCTTCCTCACCGCGTTCTCTCTCTTCCTCTAGCGGCGAATGAGTTTTACTAACCGCTTTAAAGCGTCCATCACACATCGTATGAATCATCGCGGTTAGAAGATTAAGAAACATTCGAAGACTCAATGACGTTGTGCTGCTAATAATGAGATTCGAGAATCCAACAAACAGAAAGCGAACGAGCTGATGTTCGATATGACAACGCTGT